TTTTTTATTTTTTGTTCAATCGTTCTATTGTTACTTGTATTTTATTTCACTATTCTTTCATTTCAGGTTATTTTTGCTTAATATAATTGTTATTTTCAGCTATTCATTTTTAATTCTCCTTTTTTAGTTGTTTCAGGGATTTCAAATCATTTTATATATTAGACAATGGAAGTCCAAACTTTATAGATTGTGTACTTTTTAATATAGTGATACTTTTCAAACAACAACCAGCACCATCTCTAGGTCAAGCCGGGTACTTTTGGGACCAACCTGGTATAGGGATAACTATAAATTTCTGAAATCAGTAAATATGATCGTAATAATCAAACTCTACATATGCATTGTATAGTTTGGACGAAATTGTTCAATGCAATCATTCAAGTTTACGTGTGTAATTCTATATACAAGCTATTTTCCTTATGTTACTGATATTTTATATACTTGTTTGGACAAACAAATTCACTTTTGGGTACTAGTTTTATAGTGTATGAGGAATATTGTCAGCTATTATTACCGGGAGTTTTACTTCTATAATAATTTTGTAAGTTAAAGACAACTGTGACAAGAAAATAGTGGAAATCCTATCGGCGCCCAACGTGGGACACATGATGTTGGTACCTACTGTTCAGTCTCGGAAAAATTCTCTTTAATTAAGTTATTTCATATGTATCATAGGTTTAAAATTGTTCATTCGGTTCATTACTATTTTCAATAATATATTCATTATACCTCTAAATTCAGTCACCAATAATCATTTAACACATATTGTTTGACATCCTGTACCTAAAAGAAAAAACTGTAAGGTGATCCCTATTGCATGACCGACGATATGGGAAACAACTATGCCTTTATCAAATTCACAACATCGTCCACCAGAAAAATAAAATCAATAATCACGTCATTACCGTGTGAGGATATCCAGCAGTTGGCCATGTTGATTTTTTGTATATATTCACCCCCGAGTCTTCTTCCCAACTAACTTCTCCGACGTGATTTGGATGGGTTATTGCACTGGCCATGTACGAGGTATAATGATTGAGAGCTATGAAGTCGTAGGTACCCTTGATTAACGCTACTTCTTCGTCTGAAAATGGCGGCAAGCGAGACTCGTTGAAGCCCTGCGCCTTACTGAATCTGGCAATGTTATCGATCATTACTTGTGGCCAGTTCCCCTTGATAACAGGATTGGCGTACATACCAAACTGAAACACAAATATTTTGTCACAATGATCAAGATTACTTAATTTTCTTGGTTTGTACAGTTCATACTAAATATATCATGAGTTAAAAGAAGAATGTTATTGAAAAATTCCGAAACAGCTTGACTTTTCATTCGAATTCTTTGTCTTGTAAAAGTTACAACACGATTGTACTGACGATAGGCCAAATAGCCCGAAACCGGTCTGCAAGTGTGCCCGTTCCAATAATTGAAAATCGATTCCAGCAGTTGTATCGCCAACATCATATGCAGGAAATACTTCTGTGAAGATTCCTGCACTGACACCTGTCGGATATAATCCAACGCCCTTCGCGGTATTAGCCAAGGCAGTAGTTGTTTTCTGATAAGTGTCAATCCATAGCCATTCTTCAAGCATGCCCAATTACTATAGGTGTAATTTGATTTCAAATCACAACTTTTCTGCTTCGGAATATTTGTTTTGCAAGTTGTCGTCATTCGATTTTTATAGTGAAACAAAACAATCAAGAAAAGATAATGATAAAGAATAGCATTCTTCGACCGTGAAGATATTCAACCTTTCCGATCAATTAATTTACAGAGGTGAGCAGTACACAAATTTCCTTTACTGGCCTCGTGTACAAACCTTTTTTTTCTAACTTTAGCGATCCTTATCACTTTATCTCTTCCGGGATAAACTTGCTCTTCTCGTCCCAACGGCCATTCATTTCTGGCCATTCTTTCGTCAACGATGACTATGATATTATCAACTCCAATGACTTCAACTTTGGCTTGCCATTCTGACCACTGGAATAATGAATAACTTTTTTCGAGATCAATTGCCCTAACACCAAACTGATATTTTGGTACTCGACGCGCGTTTCGCCAACAAAGTTAGCATCCTCAGGAGCATCAATTTTCTTCTCCTTCCATATTTGACAATATAGACAACTGGCATGTGTCAGAGGAGCCTTCATGCTCCGACCATAGACAGATTAGGTTTGACCTAGTCACCTCCCCTTGAACATCACTTATCGAAACCCTAGAGAGACAAACTGGAGAGGATACTTATTGTCACTCAACGAGGCTCTCGAAGGGGAGGTGATTGAAATAGAGAACGATAAAAGCCTTGAAAGGGCTGTGAAAAAAGTAAGCAAGGCAATAATTGCAGCTTACGAGGCGAACTGTCCGGAGAAAACAAGGCAACAGTTTAACAAAACAGTCTGGTGGAACAAACACTTAGAAATCCTCAGAAGGGAAGTGCGGAGGCTATTTAACAAAGCTAAAATCAACCAAGACTGGGCGGAATACAAGGTTACACTCACACAGTATACTAAAGAAATTAGAACCCACAAAGTGCTAGCTAAGGAGGCTACTATAAACCAGGTAGGGTTACTAAAAAAGGACGATGATACCTACACAACATTTGGGGAAAGCATAGAAATGCTCATCAAGGCACACTTTCCGGCCGCAACAATTCTAAAAGGCCCAGTGGCAGTGTACTGTCCGCAAAGCAAGCCGAATAGGCCGAATGCTTCGGACTGGAGACTAGCTACTGAGATAACAAGGCCAAATAGAATTAGGTGGGCTATAACTAAATTCCAGCCATATAAATCTCCAGGAGAGGACGGAATATATCCCATCCTACTTCAAAAGGGTCAGGAATCACTGATTCCTTACTTATGTAGAATAATAAGGCTTGCATAGCCATGAGATACATACCGAATGAGTGGCAAAAAGGCAGAGTCATCTACATACCCAAGACAGGGAAGGTAAATGATATGACGCCCAAGTCATACCCACCAATTAGTCTTTCCTGCTCAAAACACTGGAAAGACCAATAGATAGATACATAAGGTTTCATCAATAAACCCTCTCAACGAACGCCAATATGCGTACCAGACAGGTAAGTCAACAGATCTGGCATTAGATAATCTTAATAGGCTACTAACAAAATCCTTAAGGATAAGGAGATAGCCATGGCAACATTCATCGACATCGAGGGTGCCTTTAATAACGCATCCACAGAGTCCATCACCAAAGCTCTAGATAGAAAAAAGGTTCAAACCCTGCATAAGTGGATAAATGCCAGTCTGGAAACAAGGGTAATCATATCATCCATAGGCGAAACCACAGTCACAGCTAGAGCTGGCAAGGGGTGTTCACAAGGAGAGGTATTATCGCCCCTACTGTGGGCTATCCTAGTAGACGAACTACTAATGATGCTAAAATCCAAAGGCATGCATTGTTTAGGATATGCCGATGACCTCGCGATTATCGCAAGAGACAAATTCGCAAGAACTGTTTCGGAGCAGACACAAACGGTTCTAAACATAATAAATAAATGGTGCCAGGAGGAGGAACTAACAGTGAACCCTCTTAAACCTACACTAGTAGTCTTCACAAAAAAGAAAGTACTTAGAAGGCTGAAGCCACCAGCACTGCACGGGGTAGAAATTCCAATTGCACAAGAGTCAAAATACTTGGGAGTCATTTTTGACCACAAGTTGACATGGAATCAACACCTACAAAAAATAATTCAAAAAAGCACGATAGCCTTCAACTTGTGTAGAAGGATGTGCGGAAAAATTTGGGGTTTACAACCAAAAATGTCCATATGGTTATATACCAGGGTTATCTTACCCATGATAGCATATGGCTCGGTGGTATGGTGGCCAAAGACTCAGCAGGCTAGGGCGAATCGAAGGCTAAATGGCATTCAAAGGCAAGCTTGCCTGGCTGCCACGGGCGCTATGAGAACCATCCCAACAGCCGCATTAGTCTTACTGAACTTAACGCCACTACATCTATATATTCAAGGGGAAGTCAGGTCAGTCATCAGTAGACTGACCAGAGGGCAAATGCCTATAAGCATGCTGCACGGTAAGAGGTACAACGAGCTAAACAAAGAGTTGGAAAACGACCCCATATAGCTTCGGAAAAAACTTCAAAACAATTATAACAGGCAGAGAGGCATGGATAAGGGAGGACCTCCAATAAATGCAGAGATTGCCTGTTACACAGACGGCTCAAAAACTGAAGAAGGTGTAGGAGCAGGAATCTATATAACTAAACCAAAGACAAAAGTCTCACTAAGCTTAGGTGAAAAAGTGACGATATTCCAGGCAGAAACAGCAGCAGCGCAGAAGAGTTACTAAGGCTAGAGTTTAAGGAAAAGACTATTGCAATATACTCTGATAGCCAAGCAGCTATAAAAGCAATCAGCTCCCTGCAGGTCAATTCCAAACTGGTCTGGAACTGCTTAGAAAAGCTACAAGAACTAGGTAGTCAAAACAGACTGTCATTAGCCTGGGTACCAGGCGGATACAAAGGCAACGAAGAGGCTGATTCATTAGCACGACAAGGAGCACGACGCTCCCTCATTGGCCCAGAACCCTTTTGTGGTACAGCAAAAGCGCTGCGAAAAACTTATAACAGCAACTGGAAGGAAAAACAATCTCAAAAATGGTGGAATAAGGCCCCGGGTATGAGACAGGCCAAAGATTTCATTAAAGAGCCATCGCCAAAATTCACGGAGTACCTACTAAGTCTGGTCGGGCTATTGACGGGACACTGTAGACTCAACAAACACATGAACAACATCGGACTGGCAGACACAGCCCTATGCAGGCTTTGCCAAGAGGATGAGGAAACCTCCGTACACATACTATGCTATTGCGAAGACCTGTCAAGGATAAGGTTTGCAACATTAGGGGAGGAAAAACCCCAACCCTCTCAATATATGGGGAACTTGAGGTCTGGCCTATGGAGTCTAGTTACAAGGGCGGGCCTGAACAAGGAACTCTAGCATACATGAGGGCACACACAATAGATCTGCAAAGGTCGCAGTGTTGTAGATGTTCAGCACAGAAGCCCCATATTAATATAATCTAATCTAATCACTGTATCAGAACTGTTCCATCTGGAAAACTGCGTTTATGTGGAATAAACTTCCTGAGAACGTTTTTCCAAATGGATTTTATCTCCAGCGATTGAAATCCAATATGAATCGCTACTTTCGCACAGACACCGCTCTGAGAGCGCCTTAAAGATTTTACTGTAGGTAACTGTGTTTTGTCCTTAAAAAAATAACATAACTGCGACTCTAATGACAACTTAGGTGAACAACGTATTTGTTTCGAGTTCGCAACATAGACAACAGGGGGAGTATCGTTTACTTTCAATTCCCTATTATTGCGTTTTATGTGAGCAAAGTCAAAACATATTTCTTACCACAAACTGTAATTTTGTTTCGGCAGCGACTACATCTGCTTCACAAGACGAGGCAGGCTCATACCATTCAGAATCGATGGCGAGGGAAACTCTACCTGATGAAAGTTTTGTAAATTATTAGACAGATATATATATTTATACATTGCAAACTGAATTCTGATTCGGTCATACTATAGTGGAGCGATATTAAATTTTCTACAGAAGCACAATATACATAGATATAGAGTAATGATGACTAGACTAGAAACTTCTGGTATGTTCTGTTATTTTAAATGAATTTATATCAAATGTTGGTATATTTAAACACTAGAGAATGATGAAATCCTCATTTATTGACAGTAATTCCTATACGCAAACCCTAATAATGTATATAGGGTAAAGAAAATAACTTTCATCTAATTTCTACTATGTTTATCATTTGTTGCAACCTGTTTCGGTTTGTTAGACCATTCTCAAGTAACTGATACATTTTGTCAAGACCTTAAATATACAATGATACAGCCAAGTACCTGGAATAGATATCTGAAATAACAAATGTTACCTGATATCAATACTAATACTACAACAATAACCAATTATCTACTCTAATATATCACGATTACCGACTGTTACTCACAAAACATACTTGTGGATTTATTCGAACTACCAATGGATCCTAAACTAGTTGTAAAAATTCACACACTTTAAAAAGGAGAGCTGCATTGTACTTGTGGTGCATTTAAAGATTTCTCTAGAGCCTTCGACAGTGTGAATCATGAACTTATACTTCAGAAACTGAAACGATATGGCAGAGGGCCTGCTCACAAGTCAACTGTCAATATCTGCAAGTTCTCATTGGGGAGACTGTGAGTGAACGAATCATCAAAGAAGGTGTCCTAAAGGATCTACACTTGGACCGCTTCCTTCTCATTTTTGAGAATAAATGGAAATGTCCCTCTAGTCTAGATCTTCGACAATTTAGAAATAGTCACAATCATTTATATTGGCCAAGTGACTCAAAATAGTTTCTTGTGTAGAGGTGAATTTTCAGATGTTATCGATACAGTTTTTATCAAATATATTTTATCAAACCATAAACATATCGAAAATCTTATTCAAATCTATTAACTTTTATCTGAATATAATTCCGCATTCAGTGAAGTAGATTTCACATATCGTTAATAAGATATCCAACATTATTTCTTTCAACTAAAATTATTCATACTCACTCTTCAAAGTGGCCCTAAATTCTTCATCAAAAACTCTCCAAGCTTTCGCATGTGCCAGTAGAACGTGTCTCGCACATACATATTCTAAAATTCCAGGAGATACTATTCCGGGTGCGAATTGTCCGTTGCCGTATCCATAATGGCATATCTGCTTGGGTTCGTTGATTATTATCCAGGATTCAACGTATTGGCCAAACTCCGCAAAGCACAATCTAGCATAGTCCTTAAACCAACCCACAATTTCTGGATTGAGCCAACCTAATGTAAAAGGAAATTGTGTGGTGAACCACATAAATTCATCGCAAATATAAAGCATAGTGCCAATTTATGTACACCATCAAAATCTTTAATAGTCCAAAAATCTGGAAGTAGTGAAAAATAGAAATGCTAAATATGTACATTTCTTTTCCTAAATCAAGTATTGAACCCTCTCATAAACTAAAATCCCAGTCGAACAAACGACAATAGTAACTTAATCCAAACAGTTTAAGGAAAACCTACATAACTATAATAGTGAATCAATCCACAATCGGTCCTATTATATTTGGGGCACGCTCGACTTATTTATGGATAACCTAGCGGCGGCTCGTCAGAGGAGGCAAGGAAGGCTTAGCCTCTCAATAAAATTTGAGGCTATTCATCGCAATAAATTAAAAGATAGTGACAAATAATTATGATTATTTTTTCTAAAAATGCTTGGGTTTCATTACTTTACCATTAATTTTTAATATAAATACATAATATGCCCGAAAAAACACTATCACTCACTACGTAGTACGTATCACACTGTATCCTATATCAACAAAACTCAAACGGACCGCCCATGAACGAATAACAATTAAACTATCAACCCGAAATAATAAATGCCATACGTTGCAAGGGAGCCAAGCCTCCGCTTTGAAAAACACAAGCGTTAGAGGAGGAGGAGGCTAGAGGCTAGCCTCCAGTTGGTCTCGAATAGTGTTCGACTGCGTTTGTTTTTTATTTAATTATTCGGACGGGATGCTGTGACAGATCGGAACGTAAAATATTTCGGTAAATCGTTTTAGTGTTTCTTGATAATATTTGTTATTTGTATATAAAACAGGCAGTAAATATTATAGCATTGCTTTTTGGTAGTGTGTTTTCTTTCCGATGTTGTTTTTTCTATTCTTCAAAATAAATCAGCATATATTAATTACTCAAAACAACGGTTAAACAATTTAACAGAAATTTTCATGAATTTTAGAAATAACGATACATGTTTTAATAATATTTTCAAATCAATTGATTTAACTCTCGAACCGTCGGCGCCAAAAAAAAGAAAAACAAATTTAGACTTACCCGACTTCAGACAAAATAATAAACAGATTTATAATGAAATATTGGTCACCTTTTTAATGCAAATCAAAGTTAGATTTGAAGTAAAGCAAATAACATGTCATATTGGTGGGGGGAGGATTAGAACCGGGAAAAAATTTCTGAACAATCCATACACCACACCCTTCAAGGTCACATCACAGTGACTTCACCAAACAACAACCAATAAAAAAGCAATTAATACGTCATAGTGGTGGGGGGAGGCTTAGAACCGGCTCAAATCTCCTACTAAAGTGTCATAAATTATAACTTTCTAGCTGACCGACGATGCCAATGCAGAGGAGTACAAGAACTCTTCACCAGGCGACCTCTAAAAGCAGGAGTTTCACGTTCGGCAGACGTGCCCAAGCCAAGGAATAACTTCAGAAGATTGGAGGAATATTCCAACCTCTGGAAGATTAGTATCAAGCCTTACCACACTTTTCATCTGGAGGAAGATATATCCGGAAGGAAATGTCGTCTTCAACGGACAGGAGATTCCTTGGACAAACGGAGCGAGATACCTGGGAGTAACCTTCCACAGGAAACTAACATCCAGATCCCATAATACACAGAGGCTGTGGCTGGTTGGCTGGATCTTCAAGTGAAACTGCTTCAAATCAAGATAATCCTACTCCCCATCATAATATATGTCTCCACTGCATGGGGCCAGTGCACATGACCATACAGACTCCAGGTCTGAAGGTTTATGAACGTTTGTTTTCAGATGATCGTAAACGATCCTATATACCCAAACGTTACATCTACCGGGACCTGGATCTCAGCACCCAGTACGTGGATATCCTCCAGAGAAACCACGCCGAGATCATCTTTGAGCGAATATTGACACACCCGAATCCACCAGGGACGACCCTAGATTCAGCGAGAGGGACAAGCACATGATGTAGAATCAGATACCACCTTCGGTAAAATGGAACATCCTTTTTGAGGTTTCACTCCAACTTTTCGAAGATTCTGTAGCTTTCCGCTGTACCGTAGTTTTCTCACAGCCCCTCAAGACTCTTGAGAAATGGTCCATCATAGCCCCCTACCGAATCTAAGAGATGTATTTTGGACCAGGCAGACAAGAACATCCAGAAAGGCACAAGATGATATGCCCAGTGGGGTCCAATGACTTTTGACTTCCAACCGTAAGAGGTTAGATATCAATGTGGCTGAAGTGTCAATCAGCAGGTTGCTTACCGCTCAACAGTGAGCTGGGGTAGACGGATGATATTCTAGTTTCTGCCCACAGTAACCGTATGAGGAAGATTTTATCTCAGCTCCAAGAGGGAAATGATGTTTGGGGTGACAAAGACCCGATATCACTCAACAGTGACGACTGGTCTTAAGTGTGCTGAGCTTGATACTAGGAAACGGAGAACTATTCATTAACTGTCACCGAATGCAGGACTATTAGAGGAATTCCCGTGAATAAAAACTACGTTGAAGCTCTGCAACAAGTCGACTTTAGAAGCCTCGTTCAACATGAATATTCTTGGTTCGAGTCTTCTGTCGATCCCATAGATGGCGTTAAAGGGAAATGTCCATACTCATGATAAATAAGAATTACCTCCTCTGTTCTGCAAGTCATTTGGTAAATCCCAATGAAACAATGTGACCATGGAAGCGATCCCGTTAGCTTTAAGTTCCTTCAGTACGTTAAGGTAGTAGTCTATTCCAGCTTTGTTGATGTTGTCAATAGTTCCATTGGGTAAAATTCTAGACCAACTAATCGAAAACCTGAAAAACTCAATGAACGTCACCAATCATTTTCCTTGATACTTAACTTTCTACCTGTAATAGTCCACCCCCACTTCCTTCATACAAGCAACATCCTCCTTGTACAGGTGGTAGGAATCGCAAGCCACATCTCCATTGGAACGATCATCCATTTTCTCAGGGTGTTCATGGGTGAAAGTATCATATATCTGAACTCCTTTTCCGTCTAGATTCCATGCCCCTTCTATTTGGTAAGCAGAAGTGCTAACCCCGAAATGAAAGTCAGCAGGAAAACAACGGTTTGTTGTGGAGTAGTTAGCAAATTCTTCATCACCGTCGGCTAGACTGAAAATAACAATTTTAGGTTGTGAAAAATGAGATGATGATTTCCTACCACGGAGTAATAGCTACATCCATCAATGTACCAATTTTAGGTACTTTTAGGATGATATGGACGGTAGTGATCGAGTATTAGAAGTACTTTGCGGAACAGATGTTGAAATTGTTATGGAGCAAGAGAGAAAAGTTTCCAATCATATCCATATTGGTGACAAATGCAACAAAGATGGCAAAGTAAACGCTTTCAGGTATTTTCAAATCCAACAAAGTCAAGAACCTTCACTTAAGTAATGGGGAGCTAATGAGGGAGTCAGGAGACTCCCTCATTGGACACCTCACCAAGATCGATAGGTGTGTTCAAAGATTCGCCAAGCAATTGAGAATACAAACAAGCGGAAGTTGAATATGTTGGTGAAGAAACAATAGTGATTGAAGACGGAAAACAAGACATCAACGTCATTAATTCGAGTCGCCGAAGAGCTAACACCTTCAAAACCCACCTTCAGATAAGGGAAATGCTACATTTATGATGGATACCAATTTTCAGGGGCAGTTCGAAGATGTTCCCCAGAAGGGGCAAAAAAGATTTCTGGAGATCCTAGACAGGGAAGAGGACCAGATCTTGAAGAAATATCAACTCTTTTTTTCGAAAAGGAAGAGGTCATCGCTGATATCACACCCCAGGAAGCTCCCTCACCTGTAAGGACTGCCCAAGATTCACAAGAAGGATGTTCCTCAGACATCAGTTCCAGTCAACCAACAACTCTTCTGGATCCATACTTCCGATCATTCAACCTCATCTTCCTTAAATTAAGAGAGTTCAAGATACTTTGAGACAACCAAAGTCAGAGAAAGAGATTAACTAAACAGTTTCGACATAGAAAATTTAAGTAGGTACCAACGTTCTATTGATGAAGCGCTTCGGATCAGACAGATAAAGTTATCCGATGACGGAGATGTGAAAGCCAGAGCAAGGTTAGAAGAAGAAATTATGGTATTACTAGGGCGGGGTGTCTGGAACTGTGGAATCCACTTGAAGGACAAATTCCTCATACAAGATGAGGAACTCTCCCATTGGGATCACCACCTTTACCAAACATGAAATGATTTGAAACGTTAACTATTGGAGAAGCCTCAGGTCTGGAGGTTGAGATGGAACCATGTGGAACCATGGAGATAAGGAACTAGACTTTTTTTGTAGCAACTCATCAGCGCGAGACCTAATTCCCATTCTCAATGGAGAATGGGGCTCATATTGATTTACCATCGAAAGAAATCCAGAAAAGATTCTCAACAGACTGGTTACTCCAAGAAACTGACAGAATAGACCTTGGGTACAAAACAACAGGAGCCATGTAAGGCATAGCACTGATCACACTCAGTGTAATACTTTCTTTCCGTCAGTTAACCATCGGATAGAATAAGAAGAATTGAGTAGAAGTTCAACATTGGAATCTGCTTAAGATCTGGAAACATCATCCGTAATAGTCCCACAAAAACCAAATCACCATATTGTTCATATTGGCATGGCCCAAGATTAGCATCCAGCGAAGAAAAACCAGGAATTAGCGGGGAATATTTGGACCAACCAACATAACATGAGCTAAAAGCATCCACAAGAAGGAATGCGGGTTCAAAGAAGCTGCACACAATAATAATTCAGACAGGCTAATAAAGGAAAACTGACATAGCGCTGGAGTGATCGGCGCTTTCAACATTCTGAGAAATTTTAAAAAGAAATTTCTCAAGAATGATTCACCAGAAAATTATCAAAAAAAGGAGAATACTATACAGGGTACGCATCATCGATGCGTACAGGGTAATCAGAGAGACTCCAGGAATATTTGAGCCAAGGTAGACATATTGAACATTTACTATGATTTCTACATGTTTTTTCGAAAAATTGAAGTTATTGAAAAAAAATAATTCTTATCATAATAGGCTTTGACTTTGATGTTTCTAAATTTGACTTTCAATTTGTTACACTATATGTTACACTATAACAACATCTGTTTACATGATGGTGCTCCACCGCACACTACCAGACGAGTATCTAATCATCTGACTGAAAGTTTTGGTGATAAATGGATAGAGAATAATGGGCCGGTGAGGTGGCTAGCAAGGTTTCCAGACTTAAGTGTTATAGATACATTGTCATGGGGTACACTGAAAAATAGAGTTTATGGTCAGCGGGAATATCAAAATATTGAGGACCTTCAACACAGCATTGTTAGAGAGTTCGGAAAATTGAGGAGGAAGGAAATCAATCAATCGTGCAGTGAATAATATTCGAAGAAAGACACAGTTGAGTTATCATGAATAAGGCCAGAATTCTGAGCATTTGCTGTCATTTACTTTTGTTTTTACATTTTAGTAAAGAAGGAAGGAAAAATAAAATAATAATTTGGAGACACGAATAAATGTTTAAAAGTGAATAATTTGTATTTCTAGTATTTTCCTTATATAATAATCACCAGCTACCCTGGAAACCTAGAAGGATCCTAAGTGGGTCAACTACATGATATTGACATTTCGGGGGGGGGCAAAAAACGTTCTGTGTACGTATTACTAGAGAAGAATAAAAAGATTGGAGTAACAAAAGTAAGTTGATGTTCAGATAGAACTTACCTAAGTATATATTTAAAAAAATATGTTGAAGAAGAGTTCATTTCAAAATGCAAGGAGAACGTCAATTCTTATAATAAAGAACAAGCAATTCAACTGAAAGGTTAATTAGTAATATACAAAATCACATTTATTTTAAGAGAGGTGGATCATAAAGTTTATACCAAAAAGTTGATTGTTGGACAATTTCTTCTTCATATTCCAGTTGATTGAACCATGGTATTCCTACTGGTGATTTTAGAAATAATTCGACTGTTTTGACATTTTTTGAAAAAATCATGTAAGCAGTTAGAATGTCTGCATAAGAATTATTTTATCAATTGAATTTGGGTACATTCCGTTTGTTATATCAAAATTATATGAGCATTTTGGATATAAAAAGTTTGAGTGCGAACCTGTCCAAAACCATTTCGCGAGTCCTACCCTCTTATCGTCACTTCTCAAAATGGCGTCTAGATACTTTTCCACATTAAAGGCGGCATGGCCAAGTGTCCATGCTGCTTGTTAACTATGCTGTGCTGTTGTACAGTATTTCTTATGGACGGCTTTAGTTCGCTGGAACACGACTACAATTGTGTGGTCGAGACGACCGCAAAATGTGGCTCTTGTTCGGGAGCTCTAAATGCGCAACTTTGCTCCAATATAACCATATTCGTATCTCTCATAGTTTCCGAGATCCCAATGGTGAGAATCAAATTTGAAACACCCTGTATACATATAAACCTTTCTCTTGAATCACTCAATCTATTTTAAAAAAACGCATCAAAATCTGTTGCATAGTTATAGAAATCTAAGCATTAAGTTTCATTATTTCAAACGTTCTATCCTCAATTTATTTGTCTGAATTTAATTGATCATGCATGTGTTAGAATATTAAAAACGATCGTTTATATAATTTGTTCTATTTTAAAATGATGGTCGATTTCAAATGTCACATAAATTAAGCTGTAATTTGACTGAAAGAGACTAATGAAATTAGTTGAAGCTTTTATCGATTCCAAAAAAAAAACCCGTTTCAGAATATTGCGAAAGGTACTGTTTTGCCAATTTTCTATTCATTGTGCTGAAAATTAATCAAATTACGAGTACATGCAGTTCTACTCAGTAATTCACGAATATATTTTTTAAATCTGTTTAAAATCTGATTTTCCGATAACCAGCTGACGCACCCCTACGAACGACAACCCTCAGAAGTCGAAACTTGTGCGAGCTGAGGACAAATTGATATATATTACATTTAAAATCAACTGTCATTTGAGATATAAAAAAAATTCACGAACAATCATTTTCAATGTGTCCAACAAATGCAATAATCAATTGAACTTGAACAAATAAAATCTTGAGGAATGATTATTCGAAACAGTGAAAAGTGAAACAGCATCCCATAGATCTGGGAGAGTCAACTATAGATAAAAAATAAATGTAAAGAAAGAAAATTTTACTGAATGGAAATACTACCTAGCGGATTTAAAAAATGAGAAAATAAACTAACCTTGAGGCTATGAAACAGAACAAAATAATCAACTTCATTATTACTGACGAATACTGTTCCTCTTTCTTCAGACTCAGCATCACAGTGTGTCGAAAAAATACATAAAGTCAAGTAATGTTAATATACTTTCGCAATCTGATCAAGATTCATAAAGCAATACGATAAGGAGTAATGAGACTGAACCAGGTATACAGGTTGGCCCAATGGGTGTCGTGTATTAACTTTACTGACGATTTGAAATTAACTATTCTGGTAATATGAATCTACATCTTTATATACTTGGTACAACTTTATATACTTGTTTTAGCATTAGACTTTTTTTTCGAACATTTCATGATTTTATCCGCCTGGAATAGCAGATTAACTATAAAAAAAAATGAAATTAAATCAATTGAAGATGTTCAGTTCATTATATAGGTTATGGCAGTTGCCATGTCATGCGCGCAAAGACAATTGAGGTTATGACATTTATAATTGTGCGCGCATGAATAACTGTTATGTCATAACAGAAGCAGTCAATATTCTAGAATTTGTTTATAACAGTCCAGAACATTCTAGAGTATTTCAAAACATCCTGAAACATTTAGTATTGTTGTGGAATGTTCGGGTTAAGTCTGGAACGATTGGATATTCCCGAAGAATTCCAGATCTTTGTGGAACGTTCCAGAACACTCTCGAATTTTGTGAAATATTCTGGATCATTATGGGCCCTTAAAACCTTTTTTTGTATGGGTGAGGATATCCAGGTAAGGAAATATGAATCAAGATCCGTAGTGGGTTCGTACGCCAGTTTTTTGTCCGTGAAGTACAAAGAGTGAATAAAAACAGTGAGTTATCAAAGTGATACAGTGACTGAATATAGATAAATCGAAAATAAAGTGTACTTGGATCATGCTTGCTCTGAAGTGAAATGGCGAAAGCGAAAAGAACAAGCAGGCTTATGCACGGCCTTAAAAATACAAAGATACAGGTAATAAGTGATAAGAAAATGTCGTTGTATATATTCAAATAGTACCTAATGGAGCATGGTGACGAATGAGTAATAAAAGGTGTTTTCTGGCGTTTAATCGTATTCGAGCGTGTATTCAAACACGATTCGTAGTGACGTCATTAATAATAAGCTTCAACAGAATGAAATGATTCAAATTGTGCCAAATTTAATGATAAAAACAAACTTTTCAATTTTATTTAACCTCAATTAGAATCGGATTTGTGCATACAATAATTTCCTAGCTTTATTTTGTAGATCCTTACAACGTATTTGATGAAAAGTTTACAGCACTTGATAAACTATAACGATCAAAATAACGCAGAAACTGACAAATGACGTAACGTTACGTCAAATTCCGTGTCAAAACCAACCTCACGCTAGTTTCAAATCATTATGAATATGTTTCCAATCATAGTTGATGTGACGTCATCGTTTCAACGTCAGAATGAATGTATTATAATCACAGACGTTTTGAATACATGAGCGCCAGAAAACGCCTAAAAGTTCGGAAAAATGAATTGTTGTGCAACTATTCAATGGTATTTAAGATCAGAATCTTGCGCAAAGCGCACTGGCACTGAACATACACACGATGAAGAAACCTATTGTTTAAGTCTGTTTAAGTTGATTGTTAATATGTAGGAAAACTCTGTAGACTTCGGAAGACTAATTACATTGTAAAATACGTATTCGAAAAATGAGTGTTTTTGGACTGGGCGAAAATGTTGAGGTTAGGATATAATTTAGGAATTGTCAGAAGAGGGAGTTTCAATTTTCATTAGCTTCTGTCTTCATTCCGTGGTCGTTTATGTTGCTTGTTTGTTTATTACATGACAAGTTAGAAGTTCTCAATAAAAATGTTTTAGCCCCTAACATTTCACAATGCATTCATTGTTTATATTTTCTTGAAATGTCTGAAGAAGCACCCAATTTTCAGAAATGAATGGTTGCCTCCTTAAACTTTTTCTACGTAGGCACGATTTTTCGTTAAAATATATCTTTCAAATGTCTGATCAAAACTCTTAGTCTGTTGGAAAATCGTCCTGTAAAAATATTCTAATTGCAAATGATTCAAAATACCTGAAGTATGTCAAGGAATCTTCAAATATTTAAAAGTTGATAAAGCAAGCGCAAAACAATGTCATTACCGGCATAAATATTTTGATTATTGATGAAAAAATATACTATTTACCATAAATAAAAGTCTAGGTTTTAACTGAATGATAAATTGATACCATTTGAAATACAAATACAGTATACAGGTGGTATTCTACAGTTTCGACGTCTGATAATTGTGAATTTATTTAAATTGAATGGGTATGTTGAAAATGATACTTCGCCACGGCTTGACTTGGGAAAACCCCACAAGAAAAAGTCTAACGGGGTCAAATCATACGATCTCGAATCTGTATAAATGATGATGTTATTGATTTCAGTGATCATGTAAAAAATCTTGGTTTGCATCTGGACTCAAAATTGCGATTTGACATACATGTCGCTTCAAAAGTGAATTCAAGTGTGATGCCTTTCGTATCCAAAAACTACGAAATTCATGTCTACGTATACGAGTAATTCACAGTCTCAAAAGAAGGGATAGGATTTCACATGAGCTTGAAGTATGTTTAATCGTCCTTCACTACATTCAAGTTGTTTCTTTACCAAATCCTCAAAAATAATACACCTGAATATCTCTGTTGTTCATAATCTTAATTTTAAGAGAGATCATCTTATTGATTATCCGATGCATAATAAAGAAATTTATAAATCCTTTCTTTTATTATCAGATCGCTATAACTGCCTCTCCACTGGATATTCCTTATTTTTCGTTGTCTTTGTTTAAAAAAACATAAACCATACTTTCTGGATCGATCATCTGACCTAACACTTCACCTTTTGTTTTGCTGTTGTTTAGGTTAAGCTACATGATTCTGTAATTATTTTACTAGCAAACAATAAACAATAATTTATTATTATTTCAACCTAAGTTTCCGCTTGTCAGATCCTATGTCCCGAAGCCCCGATACAGTCAGAAGGGCGCGCCAGCATTATCAAACAACGACCACTCCCCACACCGTGGGGTAAGTGATCATTGGGTCCGAGAATCATGTGCCCTGAGCACATGATCAATATTTCAAGTAATTTGGTTTCAATAGCTTTAATCGTACTTGTTTGTATGGAAGCTCAAACGTTTACTATTCATCCTTTATTTCCAATGAATAACGCAAGTGACGTTCACTTCCTCTGGGACATGAATTATTTATTCAATCCACCCCTCTTTCGCTGCCACTGTTCCCGTACTTTAACACCGAAAATGGTATCAGTTGACAACCTTGCCTCCAAATTATTCTCGTTAATTTCGTCTGAAAACAAATACGGTGAGTGACAAAAACTATGAATTACTGAATGTCAAAAATGTATGTCTGCTTTAACTCATCATTTGTAGACCACCTCATTTCTAACAACTGCTCTTTGAAAAATATTGAATAAATACTTTATCCAGCTTCATTTTCTCTGTAGATTATTGATTTACTCGCTCACGAACGATAAAGGATTTCTAGATGCGCATGGACAATTCCAGTGGCGTAACCAAGATATTTAAATTGTGATTCAGAAAAGTGTTTATTAGTATTGGGACATTATTATTTTAATGCTATCAAAACCTGATCATCGCAAATAGAGTTAGTTGGATTTGTTAGTTCCTTTATTTATTCGGTTTCTCTCATGTATTATTTAAAATATACTTATTGGCCTGAGTTTATCGATTCACATTTGTCTGGTTTCTTACAAATCAACTGTAAACATAAATGATTGTTTCACATTTTTTCATTGAATATTAGATTCGATATATCTTATTTGCGTACCTCAGTTCATTTATATTTGTCATAAGATCTATGAACCACATATCAACTTGACTTTCTACTATTTTTATGGGGCTTTATGTTCAGGATATTGACTCACATTCATCGTGGTCATATCATCTTTCTGCTAATGAGTCCAAGGCTTGTTAGAAATATACTACTACTACTAATACTACTACTACTACTACTACTACTACTACTACTACTACTACTACTACTACGACTACCAATACTTCTACTACTTCTACTACTACTACTATAATGATATATAAACACTTTTATGATATAATTGATCAAAATAGGTCAAATCCGAGGATTATGTGGAAAACACTCAAACAGCTTGTAAGTCCAAAAACTAATAGCAATACGTTTACTGATGGTATTTATTTCAAAATAAATGGTCAGTCAGTCATTCATAAAAATAATCTAGATATTGCAGAATCATTTAACAATTATTTTATTGATAGCGTACAAGAAATTGTGAACACTATTGATCAATCTGATTCACTTCATGAGA